GCTCAACACTAACTTTTCAACTTACTAGCCAAGTGGCTAGTGACTTCTTAAATGTTACGACAATTTCAGTTTGTTTGCTAACCAAACTGGCTTGTAGAAGTCAAAAACCTCAAGTCAAAACTGGATTTCCCCTAGTCTGTGGCTAGTTGGCTGAACCCTGCCCCCACCAATGCAGCACTACAATTTAAATACCCTCTCATATAGTCTTTCAGGGTGAAAGTATCTTGGATTGTCAACCCTTCTACTCCCTGATCTCATTTAGTAATTCACCTTACAGTCTGCGATACAATTCTTACCATGTTAGTTCAGAGAATTTGGTATTGAATCACCTAACAATCCTCTAATTGATCTTTTCCTTTCTTCTCATTATTTAACTGCTTGATTTTGTGTTGATATCGTAAGGAGAAGTTCAATTTTGGTCTCTGATGGGAGTTAAGGGGTTCACAAAAAAAGACTCCAAAGACTGGATATTGGGGTCGCTTAAACTGACATACACTTGTAACAATTTAGCAGGCAATCATGATGTTTTTACTTACGGTCAAGGCCTGCATAGCAACATGGGGAACCCTATGGTTGATTCTCTTCATTATCGATCGCAATGCATCTTTAGGTCTGTGAGGTAGTAATGAAAAAGAGAGATGATTAACATTAGATGTCAAAATTATGACTCAAGTTACGAACTTTTGCACTTTTTTGCTCACCCTCTGTTGCAGCTGGTCAACGCATGGACGTTGTCTAGGTTCCCATACCGGACATTGAAGTTTTCCTGCATGTGTGGTGCGTGAATCTTCAAATCGTGCCACGAGGCCACTGAGTTAAAACCTCTCTATTTGGTTTAGTTTTTCTTGAATTTATGGTCTTAGTGGTGTGTTAAGCATTGTAAATTTTATGGTTAGTTTTCTTGAAGCGATCATGAAGGTATTTGGATTAAAAGGTTTCATTTTACATGGTTTGTCACTGTTCAGGGCAACATCCTGTACATAGTCAACAGCCAAAACAAGTAATCCCCTTGCAATGCCAAGTCTTACCTGTGGCTGCACTCGTGACTCCACAACTTTTTAAGCACTGTGATGGTGAATATTGTGTACAGATTTGATGTTGTAAGTGTACAGACCATGCTAAACCACTGTCTATTTGTTAAACTTTATGAAAACTAAAGGCAAGAAGACAGGAAGGATCTATTGTGGTCCCTGATTTCCAATTTTTGTAACCTGGTTTATTTTTTTCTCTTGCTCTGAGACTCTATCCTAGAAATAACATCTCCTGCATAAAATTTACCACCTGCCTTAATCAACTTTTCAGAAAAACGATTCAGTAAAATTATGCTTACTTCAATACGAAACATCTTTTAATGGGTTTTATTTCTTTCTTATAAAAAAATAGATTCATTTCTAAATCAAACTTCATCTGCGACTAACCACAGCATTAAAAAAAAATTTCAGGAAAAAACCTGAATCACAATGTGAATTTCTGCTAAAACTCAACATCAAATTTAAAACATTCTTTGGAAACAATCATGGCAAGAAGTACATGTGTATTGGAGATGTTTAACATCTGTCACAACAAAGGACAAAAAACAGTCCTTTTGAATCTCAGAACTTCTGATTTTGTTGTTGCTCGATCTATTTGCCATAAGCTGAGCCAATTATATACTCAGGTGTACCACAATCTATAGGTGTAAAGGTGGTGAAATTGTTTGCCTTCAATATTTAAATACATCAATTACGTTATTTATTGATTTATGTTATTGAGAATTGTAGCAGCAAGTGATGAGTTATAAAGCTCTATGACATCATCATGATGTCGAAATGATATCATTTGCTGCTAAAGACATGATAAGGAAGTGTACCTAAGTATGAGTGGTGTGAGGACGGGAGCAATGAACACGTACATGTAAATACCGGTATTAACGTATTTAATAAACGCATGTTTATGCCTGTACAACTCAACATTTGACTGTAAATAACTCTGTAGTAACGGTTTCAAATTGAAGTATTTACCTTTTTTAGAAAGACTATTCCATATAATACTTTAATCTTTGTATGCGGAAATCCCATAATCGTGCCAGGATGTCAAATGAATGACTTAGTTATAGTCAGACGACATAGTTTTGACGCACAAGAGTTTACTTATTAAAGATCGGCGACAAACTATAGTAAAGAAATTTGGGAAGAAAAACATCCCCTTACCCACTCGGTGATCGAGGAATACGATCACATATTTCCATAATAAGTTGCCAGTCATCTGTTGTGTTGAGTTCGCTTGTAGCTTTCTCTGTGAAGAGGTAGATAAGTCGAGATTCGTTATGTTAAACTCGACCAGAGAAGCACCAACAGTGCGTTGAATCTTACCAACATCCTGATCAAAGGGCGAAGAACTAGAAAATAACGGCATTACGTGGCTACGATAACTGTTTAAACGTAAAATCAGGCATAAACTTCTTGTCCAATTCGTCGAAAAACTTCGCAATTACAACAGCATCCAGAAATATTATTGACTGTGATGTCAGTGCGGCCGTAGTCATGCGGTATACCACTGACCACTGGTATCCTTTGTCTCAAGGCTACGGAGCACCACAGGCAGCCCATTCTCCTTTTGGGTGGCAGAAAGAGGAATATTGGGAAAAGACTGATGAAAAGCAATTTGAAGCAACTTTACAGAAACTTTCGGAAGGATTTGAATGCAAAGCCCAAGCTAACATGTCCTGAAAAGCCGATGACAGGAGAGGTTGACTCTGCCCTACAGAAATAAATTAAAACAACTGACTAACTCATTTGTTTTGTTCAACTTTTATTTCTTCTCACAACAATATATGTGTTGCAATATGCCATTGCATATTGCAATTAGTCATATTTGTTTAGATCGTTATTCCCAGTACGCACCACTCCTTTTTTCATATGTAATTAGCTATAGATTGCGCTAAAAATTATTATTCATAGCGAGTGTGAATGTTTTGTATTTAAGCATCAAGAAAGCGGTTAGGATGTAGAAGATAAAATTTAATTCTCGTCTCTAGCAAAGGTTGTCTTGTGCGGATATATTTCTTCATGCCAGAGACAAAAAACCCCAATGAGGAAACAATATGTTTGTACAAATTATTCCTCACAACGAACAAGGCAGAATTGTTTTCAAACTTTGCGAACACTGTCATGATCTGTCCAATGTATCATTTCTTCACTGCTGCACAAGATTGAAAATACAAGGTCTGATCATGAAATAAGAAAATTTAGAAAATTTTAGAAATGACAGAATAAAAAGTTTTTCAATTATTGAATTTTTCTTTTTGTGTTACTGGCGGGAAAATTTGTCAACCTTTTCACTCCTGGAGCTTAGCACCAATCCTTTGAATTCTCAGCATATAAGTCTTTTCAGTACAAAGGCCACCAAAAATGCATGTTTAATCATCATACAATCATGACATTTACAATATTAATCTAACATCTTGAATTTTTCCGTTCCAGTCTGTATAAGATTTATCTTTTCAGTGGCTTCAGAACCACCTTAAGTCATTACAAATGCAAGTAAAGTGAGAACTTAATCCAAAGGTTTTAAAGAAAAAAAAGGTTCACAAAAAAAAGTGCTAAAGTCTAATATAATTCAGATAATATTTGAAACTAAATTGGATTTGCAACCAAATAGTTCTTCTTGCCATTACAGTGTCAAAGATACTTGAAACAAGAAATTGAGCTGTTTTGGCAAACATTTCTAGATCTATAAGCTTAATGAATTTACTTTAAGGTTATCACACATCTGTCACTTATGTGTAAAGTATATGATCATTCTAATAGGCCTTATTGCATGTTTTCATGTGCAATTTCACCCCAAGCCTCACTTTCAAGGTGTGTAGTGTTGAATCCGTAAATCATATTTGAACTACAGTATTCCTGAAACACTGAAATAAAAAGAATACCTTCATGAAAACAGCAAGATAGTAATAAAAACTAACGATCATTTTGGTATACGAGGCATAGGGGTGAATTTTCATTCATTATATGCATGAGCTATTTAGTATATCTGATACATTCTTATCTGTCATGGTATACATAGGTAAAAAGGGTAAAGCCTACTCAGGAGCGATGTGGCTCATCAGGCTGGCACTTAACTCCGGTTTCCGTAGCATGAAGCGACTAGGAGTATCTCTACCCCCTCTGGATGGGATGCTAGTTCATCGCAGGGTTACTCACAGCATTAAACTCGCCAGCACCCATTTAAACACCTCGGCGGAGAGAGGCACTGTGAGAGTAAAGTGTCTTGCCTAACACAACGCGATGTCCCCAGCCAGGGCACGAACCCAGACAACTAAATACAGAGTCGAGCACACCAACCATGAGGCCACCGCGTCTCCACATTGTATGCATACATAGATATATATTTATATAAATGTGAGGGTAGAGTCTACTTTGGCATAAAGTGCTCAATGCTGTGTTAGCAGAGCTGGGTATACATTAGGTGAAGAATCAAACAGGACGCATCGATTCTCTGTTACTCTGAGTTTCGCACTAAAGCGGTCGTCACACAGAATTTTATATAATAAAGAACATACCTTCTTATATATAGTAGTTAATTAATTTGCTGGTGCGATAAAATAAATGAATAAATAACTATTCTCTGGGGTATTGTTGGCAGTTTGTGAAATTTGTGAAATTTGATAAGTAAAATTTATTCTTCAACTAACGTATATATATATATATATATATATTAGATAATTCAGGTATAAAATTAAACATTAAGTTACATATTAAATACTGTTTAATGTAACCTAGTAACCAGGGCTCATAAAAATACCCAGTCCATAAACATTGTCCAGTCAAATATAGGTTTTTACCAACTCCTTTGATGGTTGGACATTTTTTTATGCATGTAGAGAAGAATTGAATATGAGCTTGGTTCAGGATCATAATATGGCTGTATCACTTTTCCTGCATTGAGTATGAGGTTGCATGTATAGGTAAAGCATAGTAAATATACGTCTTTCATGGTTGCTGGTGAAATTTAGAGTAGAATTTAAGATTGCGCTTTTAGTTTTAAAAACATTGAATGGCCTGGCACCACAATATTTATCAGAACTACTTGTTGTAAAGCCTAGAACTAAATACAACCTGCGGTCTGACTCTGAAACATTGCTGCTAATCCCCAGGGTGACACAGAAGACTTTTGGCGATCAAGCCTTTTTCCATGCTGGACCAACAGTATGGAATTCCTTGCCATCTAGTCTTAGAAACCATAGGAACATTGACCCTTTTAAAGTACACTTAAAGACTTATCTTTTTAAGAAAGCTTTTAATTGGTAATTCTATATTCTTATAGACCACTTTCATAAATGGCTGCCGGATTAAAATTCTTTTGTTTACATATAAATTTGCCTGGGTGGCCTCATTCTCCAGTACAAAATTCAAAAGAATACATTATCTCAAGCGAGGCCTCTGGGGAAAATTTAAATTTAAACAAAAGAATATTAATCCGGCAGCCATTTATGAAAGTGATCTATTACTAGTACTATTTATGCCATCTAGCCTCAGATACTATATGAACTTTGACTTTTTTAAAGTACAGTTGAAGACTTATCTTTTTTCTTAAGAATGCTTTTAATATTCTACAGCACTTTAGAATATTTTAATAGTTAAAGCCCTATATTGAATGTAATAAATTATAACAGGGAGTACATTCATTGAGATATGATATGTTATGGATGTTTGTCCAGCCAAGAATGGGTTGTGTCCATGCAAAAATAGGTTGGACTGGTTAAATTAAAAAATACTTCAAACACAAGTCCAATCCAACCCTGATTTTCTAAGACATACAAACAGTGAGATAGCTCTTTTGGGTTCAAGGAATAAGAATACCAAGGAATTTGTGGTTGATAACAAATAATAATAAAGTGGCTATGACATGGTATAAAATTTATGTTAACAACTGGGCAAACATGATGAAAGGGAATTTATTTCATTGGCAATCACAAAATAAATTTGATCTCTTTGTCTTTGTATACTAAATTTTATCAAACTTTGCTGAGTAAATATATCTAAATCCTGGCTGCGTAGGAAGCATGATCAGGTCTAATATAATCTAGAGTTAATTGTCCAGTAGCATATGGTTTTAGTTCGAAACTTACACATAAGAACTGTTAATCATGTTTTATGCAGCCCCTGCTGGAGAGTAAAAGCTTCTGTACATATTAATGATTCTTGTAAACAGAAGAATATAAAAAAAATTTGAAACAAATATTGTATAAAAGGCTGTGTAGGTGTATCAGACTCTTATGTACAATTTTTTCTTTCCAACAGAAGTAAAAGTTCTTTGATTAGACTTTTTTTTTTACTGGCCAAGCAAAAATAATTATTCCATACATCCTTGAGATTATGCTGTGCAGGGAAAAACTACTTATCCATGCATGGCCCAAACTTTTGCCCTGGAAAAAAGGGAAGAAACTATATATTAAAGCTCCAGTAATAATTTAAAACCAAGGAGTACATCAAACCAAATAAAATGGCACAGATTGACAGGAATTATGTATGAGAGATAAAAATTAAGAAAAAAATCAAACCCTAAGTTTTAAAAAAGTGACTCTCCACTCTTACAAATTAAAGATACAATGGTACAGGCTTAGAAATCTCGAATGTTTAATTTAGGATCACGTCCCCACCCCCACCATGCCCCAGTCTTACCCCCATGAAAGAGTCGCCAAGAAAACCCATGGAATAAGAAAAAGAAAAAAAAAAACTCCGCAAGTGCAAGCATCCTTGAACAAAAACCCTCAATTCCCCATAATCAATATGAAATTTTTCTCGATGTCTCCTCTTCCATGAACAAGTTGTAAAGATATAAAATTTACCGAGGACAGCAAGGTTCGTTGTTCATTGGAGAAAGTTAGGTCACTTGAACATTTTCGGATGAAATGGTGAAATTAAGACTCGGGATCAGGTTTTGTCTTACTTACCCAAGTTATCTGTATTTTTGTCATTTATTCCGACATCCACAAGTGTAGCACTTGCTTCCTTTGCGACAGAAACTGTGTAATCGGTTAACGAGAGACCATTTTTTCCATTTTCAGAAATAGATCGATCGTGTAAACCTCTGTCTTCTCCTTGTGGACCTTGTTGTTTATGGACAAGAACACATTTTGGGCGGCTTTTCTCTGTGTTGGAGAGTTTCTTAACGTAGCTCCTGCTAATCGGAACTGAGGACATATCTAACAACGAAAAAGATACAAGTTTTCAAAGCTCGATCGATCGAGCGATCGCACGAAGCTAAGGCGATCAATTCTTGGATCTGTTTCGATAGACACTCACCCGAATTTGTTCCGTGACCTATTTTATCAACCGACCGAAAATATTCACAGCACACAGAGTGAATTTGTAATGACAGCAAAATGAAGCCAATCGGTTGAAATTCGTTTGTGAAACTCGATCATTTTTTGGTTTCAGGAACAAATGGTTGTTGAGCAACAAATTATCAGCCCTATTTCCAACTGTGACAAAACACAGAGGATGAAGAGTACAAAGGTCGATCTCGTCTTCCAATCAGATTTCGGAATTTTAATTTTGATATTAAAAATAACAAGTCTGTGAGGCTGTCACAGAAGAAACCACAAATGGACACCTCTCCTCTCTCTCATTTTTATAGCTACAGCTTCTAGAGAAATGGTAGCCATTATGTCAACCGGTCATTTAATGTAATTTAACCAGTCAATGGATCGGAATTCAAACTAATAATAATCATCGTAGAAAATGCAAAATAACAGTACTCTAGTGTTCCGAGTGCTACTTATACTTAAAACATTTGAAGAAAAATCGTCTGTAAAAGAGAGACTATTTTACTGCTTGAATCAGTTCATTGTGCTTCCGAGAACCAAAGATAAAATTTTTCGACGGTTGCCGAGGCCGCAAATAATAAGAAATCAGTCAGAAGACTCTTTTGGGCACTTTCGTACTTATGCAAAGTAGGCTCAGGCGGCTTTGCTTAACAGATGTCAAATAAGACCTACGAGAGATTATCGCCGCCAAAATCCTGTTTGAAATTCTATTTGGCTTTCACCATAAAGTTTTGAGTTGTAAGCAGTAGCCACATGTTACTGCCTCTTGTTCTTGTTTCTGCTGACAATGCAGTGTTAACGTTATCTTACGCACGCGCTCTCTCTCTCTTCCAGGAGCCTGACCGGCGTATAGTGAGAGGAAACAGAGAGTGAATGCGTGGAACCGCCTCCCGGTTAGCTCAATGGATAGAGCGCTGGACTGTAGTGCGGGAGGTCGAGGGTTCGAGCCCCGGCCGGACCAACACTCAAGGTCTTAAAATAATTGAGAAGAATTTGCTACCTTTCTATAACATCAAGAAATGGTTAGATATTCTAGTCTTCTCGGATAGGGACGAATAAATGGAGGTCCCGTCTCCTGCAGGGTTGGGGCAGGAGACGTTAATTTCCCACACACGAGATTACTGTGTGATGGATGTCCTCCCCTGGGGTGGGATGGGTGGGTTAGGACAGCAGGTCCACATCAGCTATTACAGCTGCCAATTAATCAACCTGCTTAAACAAATAAATGAACTTCAACGCTTTTCATTCCACTAATTTATTCGTGTTTTTCTCGTTGCCATGTTCCCACCAATAACGTA